AATTTTGTTGAAAACGCTATGGGATGTACGTGGTTTGAGATTGTGCGATTACAAGTTTTAAACATATATTTATTATTCATTTGTCTCGTGATTCGCACATTCACACAGACTCTCAAAGATTCTTGCGTCTCAATTTACACTCTAAGTTCGCTGTTGTCTCTCTCCTTTTTCTTTTTCTCTTTTTGAGCGGCGTTCAGTAAAAATAATCTTATTCAAGCGGTAACGAATGACACTTGATTTGTGCAAATCTGGAGGTATCAAAATATCTTCTATACGTCATAAGGAAAAATGCATCGCAATTTCTTGTGTATTTTTCTCGGATCTGTCTCATCCCTAAATCCTTCCACATATTTCATCCCCCAAGTCTATTTTTCCTTCTTCATCGTACAGTCAGAAATATATTTAAGGCCGTGTGTTTACTTATCTCGCAACATAGGAAACCACAATGTGTGTGTTTGATCTTGTGTACAGTACAATTACTATCGGACTACTTTTCTTTCCCCAATCTATCGCGGTGGGATTATAAAATTTCCGATTAAGAGCGATCTGCCTTAACTCGCGAAAACGGGCGCGACGCGACAGCTGCTGAAAGAGACGTTTGTCCTAAACAATTCTCTCCTCCGAAAGGATCCTTCTTCCTCTGATTCTTTCGTTTGCAGGCCGGATCGCTCCCGTATTCCCAATCTTTCTTTCGTTGACAGTGATTAACGCCACAAATCGCCCCCTTATAAAGCCATATTCCTTACATCCTAGGTACATACACATAGGTATCGACGATAATTTCATTCTCTACATCTTTACACGTATAAGCTCATTACAGTTACGGAAATGTCCTAAATTCTTGCTCGATGTATTGCGCGATGTTTTCACCCTCTCACTCATGTCTTCCAATCTCTCGTCTCGCACCACTTAGACAAACTACCAAGTTTTATTTTGACTAGCACGCGTTAATTCTATGCAATAAATTATAAACGCACGTACTTTTACTAGCGGCGACGCTATCCCACAATTTCCATCGCGAAACGGCGAAACCAGTTTCTTGTTTCCCTTTTTCTTAGTACCTTTCTTATATCGCTATCGTTACATTTACGTAGCTTTGGAAGAGGAAAACGTTCGCAGCACGCGTGGACGCAAAGTTTCAGTCAGGGATGCGACGAAAAAGCGGAAATGATATGCTCAAGTTTGTTTTCGCACGCAAACGAGAAATGAAATGAAAACCATTAAATTATTCGGACGCCGAGAGAATATCAGCAAACGGACGTAAGTGGCAAAGATCACGCATGTACATATACTTATGGAACCGATCTCTCAACAGCCGAGTAATATGTAATGCAACTATGACACGTAATGTATTTTTAAATCCATAACGGAACTAATTCTCGAATTGATAATAATAAACAGCCGATTACGTTTCAAAGTCGAGAGATACCGATCGCAAAGCGTGCTTCTTTTAGAAACTGATACATAAATTATAACAATAATTTCTATGCTTTATATACTGCTATTGATATAATATTTTTACGCTGGTCATTCATTATTAGAATGCGTGTGAAAAGATGCTTATCTGTCCTTCGTCTTTATAAAATAAAAGGCACGGAGTTCCCTTTTTTCTTTTTTTCCCCCCTTACAATATTATTTCTTATTGTTAGATATGGTGCAACCTCATTGAGAATTCAATAAAATGCGATTTAATTAAAATACGTTGAATTAAGTATGCAAATTAATCGATGCGCTTTATCATTGTGCATAAAATGGGATACTCATTCCAAATTCTATCAAGTCATTCTCGAGTGTTATCATTTGTGTTGCTTCATACATCAAACAGTCACTTTTACTCAAGTGTAAAAATAACATTATAAGATATTTTTAATACTTTATAGGAGGAAAAATGTTGTGGACGCTAACCACAATATAATCAGTAGAGGCACTTTGAAAAGAAAATGCACGTCATGCAGATTTTATGCACAGAGATCTTGTGTCTAATTGAAACACAACGTGATAGAAACGTATATATGTGCACAATTTAAGGTGCATTGTTTCACGTTTGATGCGTTATTTATTCTTGTTTAATATCCACTTAAGCCTGTTTTCACAATATATGGTTACCTAAAGATTAAAAAGGTTACTAAAAGATTCATCAATGAAATTCATTCATGAATTTTTTGGTCACCTTCAATTTTTAGGTAACGATAGATTGTGAAAACAGGGCTTAGAGAAAGATAAATTGATGATAACTGTAAAAGTGATATATATACAAATTTTATATGTAGAATTAAATAAACTCATATAAAATTTGTATAGTTGTTACTTTTTTTTACGATTGTTACTACTATGTTTTTCTAATTGTTTAATAAAATAACGAACAAAAATACCTAAATGATGTATTAGATGTAAAACGGAAGGCGTTCTTACAAGTAACACTGATAGAACACTATATTTTCTCTATTCGATCCTCAGTTCAATCAACGTAGTGGATGATGGAACTCACTGGAGAAGATGTCGACACAAAATGCCCCTATTGAGTATACTAAAAGAGCACTAATCTTATGCTCTATAATCTACGCACAGCAGTGCTTTTTATTATAAAATTAGCATAACATCAGGCTAAAAGTTTCAATTTGCTTAAGCAACCTCGTTATATAAGTTACTCTTTTATAAATTTTTCTATGTTTTGTGTCTCTTAATTGAATTAATAGCGAATTTTGAAAGCAATTCGCGAAAATATAGAATGGTGTTTTGTTATGCAAACAAAAATGAATTAAAAGCTATACAATGGTGTACTTTGGTTTCGTTGAAACTGCACATTTTTGTATGCATTTATATATACATACATATACATGATATATACGAGGACAGTTTGATAACTACCCGTGTTTGATGACTACGGGCACCTCTGACTAAAAGTCTGTATACCATCGTGTAACACCATTTTTTGAACGACGCAAGTAAAAATTTCAGACAGCTGTGCCGGTTAATTTAGTTTTTATAACAATTGAAAGTTGATGAGTTTGTGCTTGTTTGCAATCATAGAAAAAGAGCAATATCGGTCTCTGATTCGATTCCTGTTTTTGGATGGGAAGACGTGTGAAGAAATCAAAGAAAAGTTGCATACCGTATATAAGGACAACGCATCCAAAAACAGGAATCGAATCACAGACCAATATTGCTCTTTTTCCATGATTGCAAACAAGCACAAACTCGTCAACTTTTAATTGTTATATAAAAACTAAACTAACCGGCACAGCTGTCTGAAATTTTTACTTGCATCGTTCAAAAAATGGCGTTACACGATGGTATACAGACTTTTAGTCAGAGGCGCCCGTAGTCGTCAAACACGGATACTTATCAAACTGCCCTCGTATATATATATATGTATATATATTGTATATTTTTCTATGCATTGTTAAGGAATATTTAAAAATATTTCTGATATACATAAATGTGTAACAGGTTTTTCCTATAGGCTTCTTGTGAACTGTATAATTTACTTAAGATGTACAATAAATTAACAATTATATTTAAAATATATGAAAATTGTTACGGAAAAACAGACGTGCTAAATTACTATTGTTCGGTATTACAATACAATCATCGAATTTTTTTTCTTTGATTAAACGTCTTCGATGCTTAAGAAGCAACTTCTTGTGCATATATATATAGAACGATTCATTATAAATATTCGTTTAAAACATAAAATCTGCCCTTATATTCTGTAACTCGCTTTTTTACCATGTACAAAATCTGCGCAACGACAATACAATATCGTTACAGTTATAACGAGTTATAAAATATAAAGAATACAGGCTTATTTGTACTCTTAACGAAGTTGTTATAATCTCGCTAGGCAGCTTTTTTATTTTATTATGATAAAAACACTGCACAGTGGTGTTATAACAATAAAAAAACTTGCGTCAAGAGTTATAGAATAAACCTGCTGATTCGACTTAATCTTCAAATAAATAAAGATGCGTACAACACAGCCGCACAACACGCGCAACTGAGTAAATATATATTAAATCACCTTAAATAATGTACATAAACAAACCAAACTCAACATATGAAACTTTCAGCGATACTGGAGACTTACATTCTAATATTTTTACAATACAAAAGACGCTATTGGAGTGCTTATGAATATACAAAACATATACCGACACATATTTTTATTGTAGACATTTCCAACCGATTTTTGAAATGGTTGAAAATGTTCATATCGCACTTATCATATATTTTGCAGTTTCTTTAAGTTCAACAATCGTACGTATTTTTATCTGCTACATTTCATTAATGTATATACATCCAACGTATAAGATTCACACTGTATTATTCTATCAGTAAATTAAAACAATCTCGGTACTCGCGTCTCCTCCTCTCCAACTTTCTCCCTTTCCAATAAAATTTTGTACTATTTGTTTAATTATACTGAGAGAATAGCAACCGACAGCAATAGAGACTGTTCTCAAACGAAATCTCCACACAGAGCGTCGATGTGTTCACACAATCAATAAATTACGTTAAAAAATATGAATGTCGGATATATGTATGTGTGTATATTTTAGAAGTTTTTATAACGTTACAGCAATTTGATATTCCAATAGGAATACTTTTGACATATTACCGTCGGTAGGGCGGATTTTTGTAATTGGTTTGCGTGTAATTGTGCAAACTAGAATTCGCAAGTAAAACGTAGGTGAATTCTATCCTGTCGGGATAGAATTTTATTATCTCGCGTTTTCCTCTACACAAATTGATGATCATTTTAAACCCACTCAATATAATTTTCTTCAAACATGATATCAAATAATTTTTATTCATCGCTATAATAACAATGGATATGTATACCTTAATGCACTTTCAGCATTATTGTTGTTTTATGTATATTAGACATAAACACAAATAAGATCTAAAATTTAGAAGATAAATATTTCATCTTTTACGAATATATAACTAATAATATACGTATCATGGCCTATTTATATCTACAAAAAAATTATTCTTCCCATCAAAAATAAACTGAATAATGATCTATAGAAAACACAATCGAGTGGGCTTTTTATACGTGATCGAGGGCATGATAAATTCATGGTCCCGTATACTTTAATTTTTTTCCAAAGATGTTTCGACTAGATTTGATATATACTAACGTACTAAAATCGTGCCAGCGACTCTTTATACCTGTTCCATACGTATATATGAGACAAGGCTTCGCGGAGTACAATACTTCTCTATATCACACAGACTTACTTGAATTGTATACGTCGTAGGCATTATGCAAAAATCTTCTTCTTATATGTCATAATTACAATTTGACGTTATACAAAATAATAATTTATGAGACTAGTGTGTTTTTCTCTTGTAGTAGGCCTGCATGTTTTCGTGCTAGTATCTTCACATTTTCGTATGCTACCGGTTTACTCATAAACTAAAGGGTGTAGGCACACACAGTTAGCTTAGCTTTATACGTTTTGGTTGGCTCGTATTAGATGCATCTGAAATTCAATTTGTGACTTGTACCGAAACAATTTTTACATAACAGTAAAATAATATTTAATTGTTCTAATAAGAACAATCAAATACCTATTTTGTAATATGTAATGCGTCTCACCTCCATTAGACGTTGCTCCAAAGCTATTAACTAAAGAGTAATTTTGACTTTTCTGAAATAGAGAGAAATTATTATTCAATACCTCGTTATATAAGTAAAATTGATTTACGAGATTATAATGGGTTTTCAAAAATATTATGGAGATTTTATCCAAGGATTTAAATTAGATAACCCAATAAGATCAACATAACAATCAATATATGCACTAAAGAATACTAACATCTCCCATTACAGCTATTGGCGTAGTCCCAGTTGCGATAGCTACTTGGTGCTCTATTAAATAAAACATGTATTCGTCATAAAGTAATCTGATAAGATGAAAAGATCCAAAACTCGCAGCACTCCTCAAAGTGAGATCTCGGATAACCATCGAGCTGTGGAAAGATATTATATTTAAATTTAATTAAAAAGAAAGATGTTTGTTAATATGACAGAAAAATATGTACCTGTAAAACGACCACTTAAGCAAGAATTGACGTGCAGCTTTAGCAAATGTTGGTTTCTCCTCGTGTGGTTTAAGCGCTTGAGTAACGACTCCTTTCAACCAGATCGCCCAATCTTCCAGTGAATTTTGTTGTTGTAATGTTATTTTAAAATCCGTCTCAAGACGTTGTACCATCCCGTAGTCACATTGGCATACCCAGGATGCCTAAAAAGGTGATCGTACATGTTACTTATTCGTGAATTTATTATGTGCGTAATAAATATATATTAAATAACAAAATAACTATTTAAAAATGTTTCATGATATCAACTTACTTGTTCTTGCACGTTGTGAAAGTCAACACGATTCAGATCAGCTAACATTTGATTAATTTGATTAGAATTTTGAAGCACCGCTCGCGCGGCCTGTGCGAGGTGATTTAATGATGTATAACGCCTTAAAGTTTGAGCAAAAGCTGATACTGCAGTTAACTGTAATCAAATATAAGTTTACTGCACACATATTTATACTGGCCTAACATATAATTTTTAGAAATATATTATTTGGGATATCTCTCTCTCTCTCTCTCTCTCTCTCTCTCTCTCTCTCT